TGTTCATTTTTACTGTAGCTTTAAACTGAAAGCTATTTATAGGACAAGTTTTATACTGGTTTTTGTGCGTCTCTTCAGTTTTTCTGTAAAAATGAATTCATTCCAAATACCAGTGATTTCACAAAGTGCCGTGGTAACAAGCTGCAGCTCATAGTGGGAGACTTGCCCCTCTGTGACCCCTAATGAGCCAGCAGCCTCCCGCCAGAGGAAGCCCGAGCCGCTGCTCTTGTAATGAGCTGCTGTTTTGCTACAGGCCTTTCAGATGAGCCATGGAGCTGTCATTCGCACCGCAGGCCATGAGCAACTCTGGCAGATGATGCAATTCTTTGATGACTTTAAGGACAATGCATGCCTTTGGTGAAGCCTTACTGTTAGAGTTTTAACTCAGCCTTTCAGAAGTGCAATCACATCTTGTGCTTTTCTTATTGTGGATATCATAGTATGGGACAAAGTTGTTCATGCTTTGAAATAATACACTCATATTCATATTTATTGCTCCTTTTGTTGAGTTATATTATTCAGGTGATGCAAATGCTGTTTTGATTTGTAGAACAGTTTCAGCCAATTAAAATGTAATTATATAACCTACTGAATACTACAGTTACACAATGACTAAGTCTTTAAAATGTGCAGAAGTTTACAAGAAGACACACAAAAGAAATTGTCCAAACTTCTTAGTTTGGTCAGAAAATAGTCCAAAGACATTTAATTTATAATAATAATTTGTTTGTTTGTTTTTTTGTTGTTGTTGTTTTTACAAAAATACCAAACCTTCATAACAGCAAGCCTTTTGTAGAAGATTTTTACATTTTTTTGAACAATTTAAAACGTGCTTGATATTCCAATAGATGGCTATGGTTTATTAACCTAATATCAATATTACCGAATCCTGAGCCATGATCTTTTAAATATGGCACAGCCCGAAGCTATGACATCGCATGTCACGGATGTTTATGTGGCGGTTTGAGAAATGATTTCTTTAGATTTAACAAAATAAAATAAAATAAAAGCCTCCCACAGCGTGTTTTAAGACAGTTAAAGATGTGAACTCCTTCCCTCTGGTGCTGTCTGGTTGCTAGGCTGGATAGAAATTGCACACACGCTCTCCGAGTGTGACTTATTGCATTTTTGATGTTATCAGACACGCAACCCCACATGCTGTGACGCCTGTGCAGCGAGGGAGACTGTAATGTGCAAAAGTTATGATTTGGTCCGCATCTCGGTGACATGCTGTGTAGAGCTTGATAAGAACCAGAACAAGCGTGCTGGTACAGTTATCAGTGCACCCACGTGGCCTTACCTTCAGCATCCGTCACCTCAACTGGATATCAAACCAGCCAACATCCCACAAACATGACATCTGCACTCACCTCCACACCGGCAGACTCTACCGTGGACCGAAGGCAGGAGTCAGCGGGGGCTCTGCAGAGCCACGACCTCTTTGTTTTTCTCTCTGTTTCTCTTTCTTATCTTCTGATGGTTAGACTGGCGCGGACACCGGCTCCGATGCGCTTCGCAATCTCCTACGACAGAGCCCAGGGAGGCGGGCAGGCACCGTAAGAAATTTCTCTAACGACCGATAGACATTTGTTTTTTCTCTCACACAGTTTGATATTCTCTTTTAGCTCTAGTAAAAGACAAACTTTGCCAATTTCGAAGGTTATTTCTAAGCATAAAACATTGCTGCCACATCCCTAAGGTACCGCTGCGCTCCGGTCTGCTCTCTCCTCAGCTCCTCCCGGCAGCAGGCGGACAGGAGGGCGGTGCGACTGGGTTCGTGCGCTCCAGCGGTGCATGCGTGGCACGAACGCTCCAGGATTCAGCCGTTATCGCAAGACAGAGTGCATGTGTCCTATTCAAAATGCACCGATTATGAGACATACCTCACAGGCTATAACTCTCGGGTCCAGGGGCGCTGATAACATTTTAGGAGATCCCATCTCTGATCCAACAGAGATGAGCATTTGTCCAACCCCCCTCCTCCTCTGGGAGAAGTTTAACAAATAACAGCAATTTGCTTAGAAACCCTCTACATGCTGTAGAATGCGCCAGGTTAGAGAATAAATCGTTAACCAAAGTTAGAGCCATATTGCTCACGTGAAAAAAATCAATTCAGATCTCATTTGATAGTGACCTCTCAGAAATAACCAAAAGACCCTGAGCCCTGGATTGGAAAGCACTATCTTTTGCCATTTTCCATATAATCATATCATCTATCTATCTATCTATCTATCTATCTATCTATCTATCTATCTATCTATCTATCTATTCAATAAGTGAAATCGCAATACATTAATAAGTGGTAAAAGGGATTCAAACCATCTTTAACTGATTTATGATGACAGCTGTCAAATTGAAAAATAATTTGATTGTGTTTTGAGCCTGTATAGTTTCAGACTTCTGACTATATGTATAAATTGCTCAATATCTAAGCAGAAAATTAATCATCCATAAAATGTGACTTTGATATCAGCGTGAAAGCCCTGACATTAATCAGTAAAGAAATATGCAGCATGAAAATATTAGCCTGTTTATAATCACAAGTATCCATGGTGGGCTTATTAAGTCAAGCTGATTGGAAATTTTCACTGAAAATGACTTTGCACGAAAGAACACAGTCACTCAGAGAAAATGCTGGGTACCAGCTCACGCTCCATTTGAGGTCATTTTTGGGCTAAGCTGTTTATATGCATATTCATATCCTAATCACAAATACCTCAGCACACATAATTGAGCTGAATACTTTGGATATTATTATGGATAGAGAACTTAGTGTGACAGCAAAATAACATTAGGATATCCTGAGCCTTTCCCAGCACATAATTGTGAAGGGAGCTTATACCAGATGGGAAACACTGTTTTCATGGCCCAAATGGAAATACTGAGCCTCCTGAATAATACTGGGGTGTAAATGTGCATGAAAATGCCTTCATTATAGCATTTAGTTATGTATCACTGTTGATGTAAATATTTATTTCGTGGTACACAAAGAAAACCAGCCACTGTTACTTAGTACTATATTCCTAAATCACATCAGCGCTGCAAGTGATACAAAAACGGTGGGAAGTTTAGCTTGATAACAGTACATCTCTTAACATTTGGGCTTTGGCAAAGTTTTCATTCATTTTCCAGCAGATATAATGTGGAAAATAGGACGTCTTTACTCAAGAAATGCATTTCAGTGTATTTTGGTACATTTTTAAAAAACATTTTTTAATAAAGTTCACTGATGCAAGCACTTCTCTTTTTTTTTGTTTTTGTAAAATTCATCATTTTCCGATTAAAATAAGGTAGCAAGAAAAATTAGAATTGCCTTCTCTGTGGTTATGATTTCATCCCCCCACATATTATGAGAATATAATATGTTCATATAATATGTGACTGACTGATATTCTTATGGTAACTATCTGACTCCTAACCAGGAAAGTCACCAAAGACTCGTACTTTTAAACCAGAGACAGGGTGCTGTAGGTCTGTGCAGCTAAACAGACCAGAGGAGAATGCAGAAAGATGTGGTAGAGACTCTTACACTGACGTGAAATAGCCCTCCCCTCTCACAGTTTTGGAGGTTCTTAGAATAATGTAAACAGCCTTCCATGTTTAGTTCTAACACAGGGGCATGTTTGCAGTGTGGCAGAGGCACAGGGGATCTGCCTTGTATTTTATGCATTCACACAAGCCTGTTGCTGGTCCTTTACAGCAGCCTCTTACATAATAAATGAGGAACGAACACAGCAGAGGGACTAACATCAACCCCAACAGCGGTCATCAACAACTGCTTCACTGTATACAACAAATGAACCACAGAAACATTTGAATTATTAATCCATTTTGAAACAAATTAAATGGTTACTGATAGATGATGCGGGTAAGGTATCTCATGAGTCGCATATAATCTTGTGTCACCGAATATTGTATTTTCTTGTATTTCACTTCTGACAGCAGTGTTGAAATATTCTACTGACAGGCAGGACTTCTTAACATGCATGTCCACATATTAGCCCTTAAAAGTGTGAACCATGAAATAATTGCTAAAGAACTCTAAATGTGAAAAGCTGAGTGTTACCTGAACCTTCTGACAAATGCAAAAAAAAAAAAAAAAAAATTGGATTTATTTGTATCATTTGTGCTAGATCTGGTATCTTTATGCAATTTATTGCTTAAAAGTAGGTGAGTGTGTCAGATATAATGCATTTGGGGTTTTAGGTTTGAGTTTTCTGTAAGCATCAGTAGGATGTTCGACTTGCTTTAATGCCACTTTAAGAGTGCTGTGAGATCCATTATTGATAGAAGTGTTTTGTTTTGTTTTCTGATTAATTCACTGAGCAAATCCAAAATATCAATCTCTGGTCCTCTGCTTAAAATACCTGATATATGAGAGGATAGGGACAAAGCTGTGTGAAGATGTAGATTAGATGACTTGTTGGATTGCTTTCCCTTGTAAAGTACAAATGGCTTAAGGATACCGTTTCAGGTTAGGATGCAAAACGGAGTTGACACAGGCGTTCGGCTGTTCTTTTGCGGGGGTTGCAGGGGCTATTTCTGGACATGCTCCTATGATTCATTAGTGGGTGTTTGGAGGTCTGATGTGTCAAGATGTGTCATTCCACTAATTGTCATTCTGACTTATCCTAAGCCCTCTCCAGCCCCTCAGCTCTCAGCAGAGATTATTTCAGCACAAAACTAAGAAGAGAGAGAAGTTTTTATGCACCTCAGGGAAAGAGAATCTGGTTTGGCTCTCTTGAGGTTTAAAGAGCTGGACTACATACACATTTGATACTTTTCTCGACACTGAAATCAGATACTTCTTGTTTCCATGTCCAGGTCAGAGTTTAGTTTAAAGGGAGAAAATACTCAAATTCTTTTATCGCCTGCATTCATAACTTGATTATCAACATAGATGTGACCTGATTTTTTTTAGTTTCTTTTAAAACACTATGAAGAGCTTATGTTCTTATAAGCTTTAAAAAAGCTCTATAAAGTGTTATAAAAAAACAGAACAAAACAAACAAACAAATCACACTACATTTCAAAGGGGTTGCAATGTATGCCAATATAATATATACATGGCTGAGAAGAAAATTTTTGTTAACATCATTTATTGTTTTAATCTATCTATCTATCACAACAACAGTTGGCTCAAGGTGCTTTGTATTGAAAAATTAAGAGCCTACAATAATACAGAGAAATCAGAAGACCCCCTATGAGCACACAGTGGGAAGGAAAAAGTCCCTTTTAATGGAAAGAAACTTCCATTCTCAGGGAGGGGCAGCCATCTGCTGCGACTAGTTGGGGTTAAGGGAGGGTGACAATGCAAAAGAAATTTCTTATGTGAACTAACTTCTGTTTCATGGACTTACGTCACGATACGTCCTTTACTGCTTCGTGACTACTTTTACAAAAACAAATATTGTTAACACAACATCTATGAATTCTTATCTTATCCTTATACAGAATAAAAATTATATTTTACTACAGACAGCTGGGTGGATAGAATGAGTTATACAAAAATATTACAAACATGCATACACTATATTAAGTGCTGAGGTAAAAATGAGTAGATCACTTGAAGCAGAAAGCAGGCTGCACAAACTGGCCTCATCTGACATGATTTTACATCATTTCACAATGCCTGCAGATTATTGATCACAGCCTGATCTGATCGAAGACTGGATGGATCTCAGTTTGCCTTAGAACATTTATATAGATGAACATTTAGAGGCTTTCAGCTGTACGCTTGAGCAATCTATTGATATATGGACTGACAAAGAACAGTCTTTGGGATGCAATCCATCTCAAGCATGAAGCTGTGGGCCTGGTTGAAACATAACACCATCTTGCTAGTTCCTCCTCACACAAGGTTCATCCAATAAACATCTTGTTTAAATGAGAAAGTATTATTCTCATCATTCAACAGCGTGGCTATCACCAAAAACAAAGCATGATGACATAGTGCAGTAATTACAGTAATGATAGGCCTGTGCTGTATTCACGTGAAAAAAGGACACTAGATACTCTGCATGTTTCAGCAAACTTCAGTAACCTACAGTACAAAGCAAATATATTAAATTTGATCCATATATTCTTTCATAGAGGTTTGGCCCAGTCGCCATGCATTAATTTGAATTTATGGGTTTGTGCTTTGTGCAAAGTATGCAAAATATCTGGTCTATTTTTAAGTCCTTCCAGTAACTTTACTGTTGCCCTCTTAATATATCAATTGATTTCCTGGAATGAGTCATTACTGAGCTACAAAAGAGGGAAATTGATCTTACTTGTAATTAAAAAAGCTTAATTAACAATAATTAAGCTTTTTTATTTAACAAGAACCGTGTGCCTCATATCTCACAGAGCATGTACAGTACGAGGTGTATTATGTGCTGAAAGGACAACACTAGATAATTCACGTCAGCCAAACAAACGCTTAACAAGAATTCAAGATTTCACAATAGAGGACGAAAGGCCCTTTTCTCCCAGTATCATTTGTGCAGTGAATTATATTTGGTAATTGGTTCGAACATCTTGGTTCACATTGTTTTCACTGCAGGAAGCAAGAGCAGGAGAGCTCCCCATTGAAAACTTTCCCAAGCCTTCTGTAGGCGGGATGTAAAGGAATCTTGTGAAGAGGTTAAGCCATTGTTAATTCCACAATGCTTAATCGTTCTCCTAAAATAACAGGGAAAGCATCATTCCGAGAACAGTTGCCAATGAAAAGATTAACTGGATTAGCAAACAGATGATGTGGCCGAGCAGTGATTGCTGTGGGTCTGAATTGTATCAGTGTGGAAAGTGTTTAGATCTATATTATTAAAAACCCAAATCTCTACTTAAAAAAAAGAAAAAAAGAAAAGAAA